CTAACTAAGCAGCCAGGGAGAAGGAAAGCTGGCTAGCTTTAGTGGTTACGCTAGTTTCCTCTTGTTCCCAGACCTCACCCAGTCACACCAGGTGAAGTGCTAGCCAACCAATAGGCAAGAAGCTAGAGGTCTTGAGTGCTTGACCCGCGGGTAAGTGTGGGAGCTAGCTGTCCTTTCAATTCATATCTGAGGCTCCCTCTTATGCCGTGAGCCTAAGTGGTGACTGAATATTTACTTAGAGATTCTTTTTCTGAGCCTTTTTCCTAGGTGGGACTGAATAGCTGAAATAGGGCACTAGATATGTAAATCTTGATGGATCCAGAACTCCCTAGTTTTTCTCTTAACATGCTTTTGGGGGTTCTCAGACTTATGAGCAGTATCAACTTTGAAAAGATGAGGAGGAGGTAGCCATGTGGGAAAAGACAAGAGAAATTCCCATTATTTGCCCTGGCAGGACCACCATCAGCTGTGTGGGCTAGTCCTTCCCTGCAGGGCTCTGTCCTCACTGTGGCTCAAAGTCCGCTGGTAGAAAAGGGACAAGGAGGCCTTGGGTGGAGGCAGAGGGAGAAGGTGTGCTGGAAGAACCGTCCACTCCCCAGCTGCTGACTAAAGGTACACTTTATAGCCTCCCAGATAATCCCAAGGTCACCTGGCTCCTCCGTTGTTGCCCCACTTTGCCCCTCCCTTTCCCTGCAGAAGCATAGGACCCAGCCCCCCTCCACCGCACCCGCTTTGAAGCCTAGGGGATTAAGGCCAGGGATTGGACAACTGGATCCCCTGGTTTGTTGGTTTGTTGGTTTTGTTTTTAGTTTTTTTTTTTTTTTTAAATTTTTTGTGCCTTGGTATTTTGCCTTCAGATGTGTCTGTGTGAGGGTGTTGAACCCCTTGGAACTAAAATTACAAACAGTTGTGAGCTGCCATGTGGGTGCTGGGAATTGAACCCGAGCCCTGTGGAAGAGTTTCCGGTGCTTTTAACTACTGAGCCATCTCTCCAGCCTCCTGTTTTTAGTTTTGATTCCTTAATTCTGAAGCCACTCTTGTCTTCTCTTCCACTTGTCTACCCTAAGCTACCCAGAAAAGGGAGGCCCTGAATCCCAAGGGAATCTCCAGGCAGATTATTCAGCTTTAGGACGATTCCATGTCATTAAGGGAGAACTTCTTTGCTGTGTGGGTCTGTCCTTATTTCAGGTGATTTTGGAGAGTAGATGGAGATGACAGAGGTGACACATGGAAGGGCAGTGACGGGGAGAAGAATATCTCACACACATACACACACACACATACACACACACACACACACACACACACAGAGCTTTTCTTCCGGGGACTTTGAGTCTGGAGGGGGGATTTCCTGGGTTTCTTGTTCACTGTCTCTTTTGTTGATTGATTGTTTTGATGATATTAAAACTAAAAGTTTGGGTTCTAGCACTCTACTGGGAGAAATCCCATTCCCTGAGTAGTTATACATAGCAAAATCAGGTGGAAGGGGGCTTCTGGGTCCCAGAGGGATACAGCTTTTGAATTCGCAGAAAGTTAAAGCAGGAAGACCCTGACCGAGAACTCAAGCAGAGGCAGGTGGAGCTCTGTGAGTTCGAGGCCAGCCTGGTCTACAGAGCAAGTTCCAGGACAGCCAGGACTGTTACACAGAGAAACCCTGTCTCAAAACAAAACAAACAAAAAAACAAAAACAAACAAAAAGGCAGAAAAGAATTTATTTGGTCACCTGATCAAGCCTTTTTTTCCTAGCTTCACTTGGAAGAAGGAGGAAGGGGCTCCCTGCCAAACTGGCCTTCCTCTAGGGCAGCCTGCACACCCCCCCACAGCCCTGTGACCAAACTGGCCTTCCTCTAGGGCAGCCTGCACACCCCCACACACACACTTACACAGTCACCTTCACAAGGCTCAAGTGCCCAGCCACTCACTGGCCTCCCACAGCCTGCTTTCTTCCAACTCCTAAATGTCAGCTCCTGCCGCACTCAGTGGCTCTGCTTTTTCAGGGCCCTGCAGTGTGCTGAGGAACTTGGACATGCCCAGGGAGTGTCTAGTGGCAGGTGACCAACTAAGGTGGGGAAGATTGGGGTTGAGGGGGTCCCAGGGGTTAGACATTCTGACCACATGTAGGGAGAAAGAGGGACTTGATTGAGTTCCACTGAAAGCTGTGTACAGGACTCACCTCTAAGTTCTGTGTGCCTTTTGTGAAGGGGAGGTGGCAGCTCAGAGCTGAGCCCTGCTGGAGGTACTGGCTGACTCTAAAGAGAGGTAGAGAACTGGGTCTCCGGGGTAACCAGCTCAGGGCCTCTTGACCCTAATGGGAGAATGATATGGTACTGGGGAGAGAGGAGAAGAGAAATCTCCCTTTGTTTCCAGGATTCCTGTCCCCTTCTCTCTCCTTAGCACTGAAGACGTTAGTGTATATGTGAGATTCCTCCTTGATCTGTTCTACTGTTCCTCCCCTTCTCTGAGGGAGTGTCCACAACCCCTTAGACTTTGACCAAACAGACCAAGCTTTGGGGATGGGCAGACCTAACCTCTCTCATGCTGCCAAAAGACGGCTGCCACTAGAGAGTTCTGAACTGTGACCTGGGAGGGAAGGCTGACCCTGGGGGAGGAGGCGTGGGAGTGAGCGGCTCACCCCAGTTAGACCCCTGTTGGGTTTCATAGGAGCTGGCTGCCGAATGTAAGAGTGCAGGCTACCCCGGGACTTTGATCCCCTACAGATGTGACCTGTCAAATGAGGAGGACATCCTCTCCATGTTCTCGGCCGTCCGCTCTCAGCACCATGGTGTGGATATCTGCATCAACAATGCGGGCATGGCCCGGCCCGACACCCTGCTTTCGGGCAGCACCAGCGGATGGAAGGACATGTTCAATGTAAGACTTGTAGAACTGGGGCGGGAGGCTGAGGGGGGGCGTGTCAGAGGAGAGTGGACACCAGGGGCCTAGAAGGCAGAGGGCTCCTGGGGACAGGACTCCAGTAAAAGGGAGCTTCAGTTTCCCACGGAGACATTTTGATTTTCCACTCGCTCCTAGTATCACAAGGACAGTAACTGGATAAACATCCTCTCGACCTCAAATAGTTCTTACACTCTAGACTGGTTGTGATGGGATTTGAAAAGATTACAGGGTAGAGAACTGTAGTTTGATGAATGTCCCTGCCTGTGCTGGGTACCTGGGGTCATGGTCTTCGGGGAAGACAACAGAGATGTAAGGTTATGTTTGCACCTGGCCCCGCACGACTCAGGCAAATTCACGAGAACCTCTGAGCATCAGTCCCCACACATGTAGTTGGGATGAACACACCTAAGTCATCACTATTACCAGCTCCACTGTCCCCAAGTATGGTCTACAGTGTGAGAGAACACATGGCTTCGTCAAAGGGTGGTCCTTTCTCAAATCCAGGTTAGTTGCTCCCTGGAGTCTGGGCAAATCCTTGATTTCCTTTGAGAAATAGGGAGCCTGTATTATACTTTAGAGAATGTATGGGCCAGGGGCTGGTAAGATGGCTCAGTTGGCAAAGGTGCTTACCATTGAGACCCAGGACCCGTATGGTGAGAGAAGAGAGGCAACTCCAGTAAGTTGCCCTTTGACCTCCACATTGGACTGTGACATGCATACACACACAAAATAAGTAAATAAATACATGCAATAAGAGCATTGTGGGCCAGGCACAGCCCCAAGGACAGTGTTTCCATCTTCTGGGCATTGTGGGGTGGTATCAGGGTGTGAAAGCGTTTGAGAGGCTGAGAGCACTGTTGTCACACTCTCTACATCTGGTACCAGTGGGCTAGTACTAATAGGTCCTTAGAAGGGAAACAATGAACAAAGAGAATGAAGCTGTGACCTCAGTCTTCTGGGTCAGAATCACAGCCCTCGTGTGCAGAGGCATGTCTCAGCCTGGACCTCAGCTTGCCCATCTGTGAGATGAGGGACTTCTAAGTCCCCAAGGCCCCTTTGTCTTGAATATTACCTAAATCCCTTAGCCCCATCCTAGTAGGCCCTAGACCCAGGAGGCTTCCACCATGCTCCGAGGGACTCATTTGTCCTCCATATGCCTCACAATCCCACCCTGTTAAGAGGACCAGAAACAGTCTGAACCCTTTCTGCATCCTAATACCTAAGTGTTGCTGCTACCACAAGCAGGCAGGCAGGTTCTCACTGAGGGCATTCTGTCCTGGTGCCTGGGGGACACTTGATAAAGCAAATCAGCTAATCTGCCAGTTGTCCCTCTCTGGAGAAGAGAGAGGCAGGAGGGCCCCTGAGGACAGCTTTATCGCCGCTGGCCCCTCGGGCAAGACTAATGGGTGGAGCAGACAGGTGCTTAGTGGCAGATAGCCTTAGATCTCTGCTCTATGAAGGGTGGGGACTCGAGGTCACCTCTGCCAGGAGTGGCAAGTGACTCCACCCACTGGATTCCCCAAACCTGGACTTGTTGCTGGGGTGTAGGTTAAAGGCCCGTGAGCCTCCCCCACATATGATTGGTGGGAATTACCAGGGAGCAAGATGGCCGAGGAGGGCAGGGAGAGAAGGCTGGCTTCTGTGTGTAAGGAGAAAGGTTTAGGCCATTTCAGGAAGGGTTTCAATCTGTTTAGGAGGGAGCAGGTCTGGCCACTGCCCCTGAGAAGGATGGCTTGTCTCCTGAGGCCGAGCTCTGACTGTGGCAGAGATGGTGGCAGTGTCCTGGACTTGGGTGGGAGGTGTATTCCTACAGGAACTCAGCCAGGAAAAGAGCTGCCTCTACTGTCAACTGGGGGTGGTAGCTGTGAGAGGTGGGACCCCCCGCAGAGAAGGCATACCACTCCCTCCCCCTGGTGCTCTGCAACTCCATCACCTATTCAGTTGGGCCCAAGCCGGAGACACTCCATTGCCCTCCCTGGCCCACAGGTGAATGTCCTGGCCCTCAGCATCTGCACTCGGGAAGCTTATCAGTCCATGAAGGAGCGGAATGTGGACGACGGGCACATCATTAACATCAACAGGTGAGGCCAGGCAGCCGAGCCTCAGCACAAGTCCGTTCAGCAGTGACCCACCTGTCTCGGCTCATTAACCTCCAAATGGCAGTTTCTTTGGTAGTAAGATAGGCATTTAATATCTAAGTGGCATGATGCTGACCGAGGGAAGGCGCCAGCCCGCTTCTGGTCATCTAGAGCAGACAGCTCAGCCCCTGCCCTCCATAGCCTGGGCCTGGGCCTGTCCAGGAACTGGGTGCCATTGTGCATTTTCCTCAGATCCAGGGATAAACCCGCCTTGTGGGCCGAAGACACTGCACAGTCTCTAGCATAGGCGAGCCCATTGTCTATTAAGGGGTGTGTGGGACAACCCCAGAGATCTCCCAGCACAGCCCTATCAGTGAGCACACAGACAACATGGTGAGGCTCCTGTCAACATCTGGCTGCAGAAGGGAGTACACAGTCAGCAGAAGGACAGATTCAAGGCAAAGCCCGTTTCAGGAGCTGCATAGACAAGAGACTAGATTCCCCAGGCAGTGGTGGTGCACACCTTTAATCCCAGAACTCTGGAGGCAGAGGCAGGTGGATCTCTGTGAGTTTGAGGCCAGTCTAGTCTACAGAGCTAGTTCCAGGACAGCTAGGACTGTTACACAGAGAAACCCTGTCTCGAAAAACCAAAAACTGAACTGTAGGGGTATCCATCAGAAGTCCCCCCAACAAGGCTTCCCCGTTGGCCTCTGGGTAATGAGGCTGACCAGGATGATAGGAATACTGCCTGTGTCTATGGAACTTTACTCTCTCCTCTCTCCCTTCCCTTCTTCCACCCAGCATGTGTGGCCACCGAGTCCCACCCCAGTCTGTCATCCATTTCTATAGTGCGACCAAGTATGCCGTCACTGCATTGACAGAGGGACTAAGGCAAGAGCTTCTGGAGGCCCAGACCCATATCCGGGCCACGGTGAGGCTGTGGTCTAGCCCTGGTGGGAATGGCACGGGCCCAGCCCTCCTGCCCGCACATGCCCAGGAAGGCCTGCTGAGAGCCCTGGGTGCTGCTGCTCCTTACAAGGATAATCTCCTCTGTTCACTCACCCCAGAGCCCATGGTCAGACTTACACTGTTAGTGGGAGGGGCCGACTTGAAGGGAGCATGGAGTGAGAGTAAGGGAAATCAGACACTGACTGGAGGCCAGCACTCTGGCCCCTTCCTTAGAAGGCCACATGGGTAAATCACTGAACCTCCCTCAGCCTGTCTTCACATCTATGAAATGGAATGATACTTATCCGGTTATGAGGTTAAGCAACACCACTTTGTAAAGCGTTAACCAAATATATAGGAACAACTACACATGCAGTACAGGGTATTGTGAGAGGTGCCAGTTGGAGCTCTCAGTGGTGACTTTGGAAGGAGGACAGTTGAGGACATGAGGCTTCTGTCATTGTGAATCGGGAGCCCTGTGGCCTCTATCCTTTCCCTTCAACCTCCTCATGGCCTGCTGAAGCTCAGGCTGAGCAGGACCTCTCTGTTGGCCCAGTGTATCTCTCCAGGCTTGGTGGAAACACGGTTTGCCTTCAAACTCCATGACAAGGACCCTGAGAGAGCAGCTGCCACCTACGAAGACATAAAGGTGGGGCCTTCTTCCGGGCCCAGTAAAGCCCCCCAGTCCTTAAGTGCCCTCTGCCTAGCTTATCACTCCTGGAGGGTTAGGGGGAGGGCTAGGGTGGGATGTGGGTGTTAGAGAGAGAGTCCCTCTGAGGTGGGGAGGCACTTGGGTCACTTCTGCCCTTGTCTCAACCTTTCCCCGTGCTCGCTCTTAGTGTCTCAGACCGGAGGATGTGGCCGAGGCTGTCATCTACGTCCTCAGCACCCCCCCACATGTTCAGGTGCGTCTGCCCTTAGCTCGTTACCCCTGGGAGAAGCCCAAGTGTGTCCAGGGAGTCCTTTAGGGGGTGATTGCTTCAAATCGTCTGCCTTCCACAGGTTGGAGACATCCAGATGAGGCCCACAGAGCAGGTGACCTAGTGTTCTGTGGGGAGCTCCTGACTTCCCCACCCTTCATGGCTTGCCTCCTGCCTCTGGATTTTAGGTGTTGATTTCTGGACCCTGGATCTTACTTTCTGTATCCACTCCACTAGGGATAGGAAATTTGTGGAATTATTCCTGTTTATACATGTGAACAAATGGGCTGGGGAGAGAAGGCACGGTCGTGACCATTTTATCTGCTGACCTGTTCTGAGTCCCCTGTTGGACTCCATAGCCTTTGCTCTCCTCAGCCTCTTCCTTTTGACCTGGGCAAGGGAATGTGGCCAAAAGGGGCACTGTCTATCTTCTTGCACCCTACCCTCTGCCTCTTAGGGTTGGGGTGGCAGAGACAGGCCTCATCTTTTACCTGTATAGGCCCCCTTCCCCACTCCCCCACCTCTCCAGCCCAATTTTAGCTCTTATACTGGGGTCATCACTGCACTCTGACCATGGCCACAGAATACTAGGCCTGTCTCCCAGCTTACTGTAACAATTAAAGAGAAAGATCACAACCTACTCTGGCTTCAGAAGTGTCTTTCATTTTCCCCCCTTTTTGGTGATCAGTGTGGTTGTGTCCAAAAATTTCTTCCAGGTAAGTGGGAAGGAAGGTAAATTTGGAGTATCCCTTGTGGAGTGGGAGCAGGGGATGGTTGGTGCCAGGGCCATTCAAGGATACATGTCTCCAAAACAAAAACGAAACAAAACAAAAAACCAAAACCCAAAAAACTTAAGTTAGTAAGTAAATAAATACTTTATTTATAAAGGGCTGGGGAGGTGGTTCAGCAGTTAAGAACATTGGCTGCTCCTCTGGAGGACCCAAGTTTGATTCCCAGAACCCACATGGTGACTCTACTGTCAGGGAATCTACATTTTCTTCTGGTCTCTGGGGCACCAGGCATGCTTGTGGTGCACAGCCATACTCAAACAGACAATGCACCTCCATGCATAAACAATGAAAGAATTTTGAAAAATAAAATAAATTGGCCCCGGGCATACCAACACCTGAGAAGCAGAAGCAGGGTGATCGCTGTGAATTTGTGGTCAACCTGGTCTACATAACGAGTTTTATTTAGGCCATGCATGGGGACTACTTAGTGAGACATTGTCTTAAAAAAAAGTTTAGGCCGGGCGGTGGTGGCGCACGCCTTTAATCCCAGCACACGGGAGGCAGAGGCAGGCGGATCTCAGTGAGTTCGAGGCCAGCCTGGTCTACAAGAGCTAGATCCAGTACAGGCTCCAAAAGCTACAGAGAAACCTTGTCTCGAAAAACAAAACAAAAAAAGTTTAAAAAAGAAAAAAACAAAAACAGGGTTAAAAGACTTTGGGGGGGGGGGGGGGGGGGGGGGGGGGGGGGGGAGTGTCTGAGCAGTGAGCAAAGGAGTCCCAGCATTACCAAGGGCCAAGAGCATCAGCGCCTGTCTACAGAGACACGATAGACTTGGGGCTTAACCACAGAGGTCCGGAGATGGGAAATATGGCCGGGGTTCTGCTGGCTGGTGTTAAGAGTCTGACTGGGTAAGCTTCTGGCAACAATTTCCAGAAACGACGGTGCGCTTGAATGTGGGGAGGAAGGCCCCAAGACTGACTGATTGAATAAGATGGCCCGCCCATCGTCTTAAATTGATCTTTGCAGGTGCGGAAGTGAATAATAAGGCTAGCCCAGCCTCCCGTCACCTCCCCTCACCCAGGGCAGCCCGAGCTAGGGTCAGCTCAGCAGCAGCACAGCCTCTGCTCGCCCGCGGCAGTGGAGGTAGTGCGAACCATTGCTGTAGGGGGTGCTGTGGAGACTTAGTTGCGGTCAAACTCGCTTGTGCGTCATCGGACACGGGGCCGGGCCTCTGGAACCCGGAAGCTGGGGACCCACGTGGTAGTCTGGGAGGCGACTGTCTTGGCTTGGTTGGAAGATTGTGGGCAATCTTTGAGCGAGGCCTCGGGGACAGTTTGTCCTACGCGAGGGGAACGAGGTGTGGGAGGCCAGCGGGTCCTCTGCAACCGTCTGTTAGTGGAGTCCCGGGCGCAACTGGAGCTATGCGACTGCTCTGGCCTGTCGGGTGCTTCGGTCGCCGGATCGTCCGTCATTTCTCCCAGGTGGCGCGGCCTGGCGGGGAGGAGCTGAGCCGCCTGCTTCTGGATGACCTGGCACCGACCCAGAGGCTGGAACGTCTGTTCGGCCTGTCCCCGTGCCTCCTGGCCCTGCGGGCCGACCGCCGGAGCGTGACCCGGCTTCTGCTCCAGGCGGGTAAAGCTGGGCTGCAAGGGGAGCGTACCGAGCTGCTCCGGGTGGCTGAGGCCCGGGGCATCCCTGTCCTGAGGCCCAGGCGGCAGAAACTGGACGCCTTGTGCGGCCACCAGGTGCATCAGGGCGTCTGCATGGAGGTGAGCCCCCTGCGACCCCGGCCTTGTGATGAGGCCACAGAGGCGAGCCCGGGCGACGACCCTCAGCAACTGTGGCTCGTCCTTGAGGGACTCCAGGATCCCCGGAATCTTGGGGCTGTGCTGCGCTCCGCTCACTTCCTCGGAGTAGACAGAGTCATCACCAGTCGGAGAAACAGGCACGGACGTCCCCTTAGTGGAGGCGGAGCCAAGTTCCTAAGCACCTTGGGGTGGGGGGTCCCTCGTCCAGGCTCCTGGTTGACGGAGCCTAAACCCTTGGGAGCTGGAGTGTGTGTGTGTGTGTGGGGGGCTTTGAGAGTACCAGGTTTAACGGGGATCGTGGGGGAACCTTTGCAGCTGCCCGCTTACTCCAGTAGTCAGCAAGGCCAGCGCTGGGGCTATGGAGGTGATGGACGTGTTCGCCACTACTGACCTGGCCGGTTTTTTGAAGGTAACGTGGGACGAGAGGGGAAGGAGAGGCGATGAGTCTAGCTCGGGCTCTTAAAGTCACTTCCAGCTAGCAGTGGATGGGGGTGGGAGTGGGCGAAGGTAACGTGGTGGCATTGATTCCTATGGTCTTTAAAATCACCAATGGAGCTTCGTCTGAAGTTAGGAATTTCCTCGCTTCATTTCTTTTACTTCACGCCTTGGCCTCCTGCATCAGCAAGTCAATGTCTGACACCTTTGGGTCTTAAGCAATGCTCTGGGGAGCTGGTGGGCAGGAGATGTGGATACAAGGAATAGAAGCTCAAATTGAAAGGAATTTTGAACACGGCTTTGCTAGGGGCAAGCTTTAGCGTTCTTCAGCTGTGTTTCCCTGACTAGACACCAGGAGGCAGCATTGCCTCGCATTTGGCAGACCCTCTGACTTCCGTCTGATCCGCCTCCCACCACCCTTCACCCCAGCTGTAAGACAATAACCTTGAAGGGGGGGGGGGCGCCTAATAAACTTATATTCAAGCCACGTGTCTAATTTCAGATTTTCCAGTAACCACGCTGAAAAGTAAAATGAGCCAGGTGTCTGTAATTTAAGCTCTTAGAAGGTGGAGACAGGAAGACGATTCCTTTCAAGGCCAGCCTGGGCTATGTGAGACCCAATTTCAAAAAACAAAACAATAACAACACCAAACAACCGGAAAAGTAAAAAGAAACACTTTCATTCAATGTGCCCAAAATATCATTAAAACATACATTTTATGGCTGGAGAGATGGCTCAGAGGTTAAGAGCACTGGCTGCTCTTCCAGAGGTCCAGAATTCAATTCCCAGCAACCATATGGTGGCTCACAACCATCTATAGTGAGGTCTGGTGCCCTCTTCTGGTATGAGGTAGAACACTGTACACATAATATTTAAATAAATAAATAAATCTATCTTTTAAAAAAACATGCACTGTAAATACTAAAAAAAAAATTGAGATAGGGTTTTGTTGTGTAGTCCAGGTTGGCCTCAGATTCACAGAAATTCTGCCTCAGTCTCTTTATAAGTGTATGCTACCATGTTCAGATTAAATCACATTTATGCCTGGAGTTGGTGGCGCACGCCTTTAATCCCAGCACTTGGGAGGCAGAGGCAGGCAGATCTCAGTGAGTTCGAGGCCAGCCTGGTCTACAAAGTGAGTTCCAGGACAGCCAGGACTGTTACACAGAGAAACCCTGTCTTTATCTTTAAAAACCCAAACCAAATTAAAACAAAACCAGAAACAAACACCCCCCCCCCATGTTTATACAGAATACATCTCAATTTGGACTAGACATATTTCAGTCCTTAATAGCCACATGTACTGGGGCTGAAGGAACAGTGTTAACAGTGAAGAGCACGGACTGTTCTCCCAGAGGTCCCAGGTTTGATTCCCAGCACCCACTCACAACCATCTGTGACTCCAGTACCAGGGCTTCTGATGCCCTCCCTCTTCCGGTCTCCACCAGTATCTGGCACGTGTGGCACACACATATCCATGCAGCTAAACCCTGATACATGTAAGAAAGCGTCAGAATCTTTAGGAAGTGGTCAGGTGTGCCAGCGGTTTTCACGTAAACAGCACATCTAGAAGCATCTTCTCAGTCATCTCAGTGGGGTCTCTGGCCAAGCCTGGTGGGAAGCAGGAGGCACTGTTTGTCCCCCCCCCGCCCAGACACTGGGTTTCTCTGTGTAACAGCCCTCGCTGACCTGGAACTCACTTGTAGACCAGGCTGGTCTCGAACTCAGAGACGCACTTGCCTCTACCTCCGAGTGCTGGGATTAAAGGCGTATGACACCATTGCTGGGCTTAGACTCCCACTTTATTTGACTGCCTCCCAAATGGATGCTCTACCCTGGATCTCATCCCCCACCCCAACTCTAGACTTAGTACCTCTGCTATAGCTCTTCCCTCTGTTCCTACAGTGAGCATTTCAGACTCCCCATTTCTAGAGCTGACCCTCTGTTCTCCTAGGGCCTACCCTGCTCAGTTGTTCAGTCTAGAGATGACCTTTGACTTCTTGCCCTCACAGCTATGTCCCACACGTCCCCAAATCCTTTGGCCTTATTGCTACACCATCCTCATTTCTCACTGTTTCTGCTGCCCTAGTCCGAGTTCACATCTCCCTGTGCTGGGGTCTCAGCGTGGGCATGCCCAGTGATTCTGCCAACACTCACATCAGATGGTGCTGCTTTGCTTAAAATGTTCCAAAGTTCCAGACCTGGTGGCACACACTTATAGCCCCAGTACTTGAGAGACTAAGACTGGAAGATCATAGGTTCAAGGCCAGCTTGGGGTTCATAGTGAACTCATATCTTAAAAACCAAAGGAAAATAACACTTTTCAAAGTTTCTTTTTATATATTTATATGTATTAATTATTTATATGTATTTATTATGTATACAATATTCTGTCTGTGTGTATATCTGCAGGCGAGAAGAGGGCACCAGATCTAATTATAGATGGTTGTGAGCCACCATGTGGTTGCCGGGAATTGAACTCAGGACCTTTGGAAGAGCAGGCAATGCTCTTAACCGCTGAGCCATCTCTCCAGCCCTCAAAGTTTCTATATCAGTATTAAAACCCTGTGCTTCTAGTGGCCCTTGAGACCTTACTCTGTGTGGTTATTGTTTTGCCTCTTTGGCTGCCTTCCCCCAGGCCAGCTTACCATTCCTCAGATATGACAGGTGAGCAGAACCTGTGTCTCCATACTTGCAGGTCTCCCTGCCTAGAACCTTCCCCCACTGCTGCTTCCCCCACTGATACTCAGCCATTACTTGTCTTCAGATCTGCCCTTTGCTGTCTCTTCAAGGAGGACGCCACAGCCGCTCTGTCACACAGCCGGGATTTTAGTCTGCTGTGTTCTCGGGCCTCATCCTCAGTGCCCGGAGCAAATGCTGCTCCCCTAGAAGATCCGACTCACCCTAAGTCGAAGGCACTTTCAGTGGGGGTTCCTCAGCCATGGCTCTGATGACAACTCGGTGAGCCAGGATGTGGTGTTTTCTTCCCTTTTTCAGGCCAAGGCCCAGCAGGGCTGGCTCGTGGTGGGCACAGTGGGCTGCCCAGGTCCTGAGATCTCCCAGTCCTTCAAGGTCCCCATCACTAGCTGCCTAGAGTTCATCTGGGACCGGCCTACTCTCCTTGTGCTGGGTAGGTAGGCTATCCCTGCTTTTCCGTTTTCAGTTGTCTATTTTCTAAGCATGTGGACTTCAGGTTGGGGCTCCCTAACACTGTCGCGTGTCCTGCAGGCAATGAGGGCTCTGGTCTGTCCCAGGAGGTTCTTGCCTCCTGCCAGCTGCTCCTTACTATTCTGCCCAGGCGCCAACTGCCTCCCGGTCTTGAGTCCTTGAATGTGTCTGTGGCCACAGGTGAGTCTACATCTCCCTCAAGCCCAGCTCCATGGTGGTGGCTTCTGTCTCCTCTCATTTTCGGACTGATTTACCCTGAACAGGCTGCTCCCTCTATGCCACACTTGTTTGTGAAAACAGGAGTGTGCCCTGCATGTGTCTTGAGCCCCTCCATCTCCCTATTGCCTTTAGGAATTCTTCTACACTCCATTTGCAGCCAGAAGAAGGGCTTTTCTGCACAGACCGAGAAAGGACAACTTCCCCAAGACACTTGAGAACCCTTAGCTACACCTGGAGGACTCAGAGAGGCCCAGTACCCAGGACTGCCACTGTGGTCGGAAAAACAGGCTCAAAGTGGGCTCACCTCGACTGAGATACACCTGTGTAGGAATTGGACCGAGTCGCATGCCGATTCTCACGCAGGCTTGAAGGTGCCAGGTTCTCTGCCTGTGAGAGCCTGTTTATTGGCTATGGTCAGTGGAGACCAAGAGGGTGGGGTGTCATTTCCATTTGGAAATGGTAGTTTGCTAATTTCCAGGATGTGTTAAGACAGACGGTGTCTGTCCTGGATCTTTCCTAGGAGGAGTCAAAGGGCTGTCTTGGCATGAGAAAGAATGGGTAGTCCTGTGCAGGGTGTGTGGTGTGTGAGCGTGAGGATGTAGAGGGAAGTTGAGTGGACTGGTGCTCATCCCTACTCCTCCCTACTCCTCCGGGTGATGAGGATGAAGTAAATGAGGGGTTCCCTCCAGTGAGTGCCTTACAGCTGAGCTGTCCTGCCCTGTCTCTCCATTAGGTGGCAGTATTGCTCTTTGTGTCACAGTTTTGATGTACACACACACACACACACACACACACACACACACACACACACAGACAGGCGCGTGCCTGGTAGAACCTATGACTCAAAGCTCTTGCTTCTGAATCTGAGAGGTTATGAAGTTAGGGTCACTATTATGTAATTCTAAATAGGCTTGGTCCCCTCCTCCAGGGTCCCACGAGTGGATAAAAAATGTGATATTGCAGAATAGTGTTACACTCTGGGCTGCACGTTGGAACACCTAATAAGCATTAACAGAACAAGGCCAATATAGCAGCCACTGTGTGATGCTGAGAAGGGTGGGTAAACCCTGGGCAGTAGGATTTTCTTTCTTTCTTTTTTTCCTTTTTGAGACGGGGTTTCATATACTATGTACCTAGGGTGTCCTGAAACTTGTCCTTTAGCTGAAGATTACCTTGAACTTTTGATTCTCCTGCCCCCACGTCCCAAGTGCAAGAATTCAAGACATCCCCCACTGTGCCCTCTTTATATGTAGCTGCGGGTAGTTCCAGGACTCTGCGCAAGCTAGACAAGCTCTCTACTTACTGAGCTCCATCTGAGCCCTAGGCTGGATGATCCTTTGCTGTAGGATCATCAACTGTCCCGAGCACGATGCGATGTCCCCACTAGACTCCAGGAGGTCTGTATCCTATCTCCAGTTATGAAACAAAGCTGTCCTCACATGACCAGATATCTCTGACTGACAGCCCTGAGTGTGGAATGGAGGACCTCCCTGAGTTGTAATCCCTGAGGCTGTGAGACTTGGGACAAGTCACCTCCATGCTCTCTATCCTTGTAGGATATAAAGAACAATGGGAGCTTGGTGCCCGTTTCCTCTGCAATCTCCCTGGGGTAGGATCCCAACAGCAGTGAGCACTTAGTACACGGTTTGAATTTGTTTGCAGAAGGCCTGGAGTCCTTGCTTTTCTTGCTGCTGTTGAAAATACCGAACAAAAGCACCTAAAGGAAGGGTTTCTTTTGGCTCAAGTCTGAGGAAACGTTTTCATTTCCTCATAGTGGGGGAAGGCATAGCAGCAGGATGGGTGTGAGGCAGGAGCTGGGGCCCTGGATTGGGTGCTGGGGCCCTGGATGCGGGTGCTCGCTCACTCTCTCTCCTTCCCCTGTTCATTTAGTTCAGGGCTCCTGTCGTGGGGCGGTGCTGCCCACATTCAGAGAAAGCTGTCCTTCCTGTTAGTCCTGTCTGAGAACACCCTCAAAGACATGCCCAGGGGTGAGCCTCCCAGGTGATCCCAAAGACAGGCAAATGGTCAGTGAAGATGAGCCGTCACAGGTCCCATGGTCCCGTAAAGTTTTTCTCCTAAGGAAAGACGGAGAACCCTTCACCACCATTCCCCCAGCTCCCCACCTTGAGCTGTGTGTCCCCAGCTGCCACACAAGCTCTGATGACCGCTGAGCTCAGGCTGTGCTGTCTCACCAACGAGCAGGGATTTGGTTTTTGTCTTTTTATTGTTTTGTCAATTTTATGAATTCAAATATAGATTTTTAGCATTGCCTGTGCCTTGGAGTCATGGGGTAGGGAAGGGGTTGTCTTGTTAATGCCCAGAAGCACCAGATCAATTAAATAACAGTCTCCAGGAAGGAGCCAGGGGTTCCTCTTGATTTTCTTTGTGTCTTCTTTTCCCTTAAGTGTGTGTGTGTGTGCGCGTGCGTGCGTGTGTGCACACAACAGCACGCATGTGGAGATCAGAGGATAACTCCCTGGATGGTGTCAGTCCTTGCCTTCTGCCATGTGGATTCAGGGGATCAAATTCAGGTCATCAGGCCCAAGGACAAGTGCCTTTACCCACTGAGCCACCTGACCTACCCGGGCAGTTACAGAGAGAAACCCTGTATCAAATAAACAAACAAAACCCCAATGTTTTTGTGTCTGTGCATGTGTGCTGTATACACTGGATCAGTATTTCTTAAAGGTTCCAGTTGGTATCAGGGTTCAGGAATCCTTGGCTTGCTAGGCATGGTGGTGCATACTTGTAATCCCAGCACTCAGGAGGCTGAGGCAGCAGAGTGTTAATGAGTTTGAGAATACCAGCCAGGGCTATGTAGCAATACCCTGTTTTTTTTTGGGTTTTTTTTTTTTTTGGTTTTTTTTTGTTGTTGTTGTTGTTGTTGTTTGGTTGGTTTTTTATAACATTTATCCCCATCTCCTAGGTGGTGCCTAGTGCCTCTCAGGATGATCTAGTGTTTGACATACCATTATAGGCTTACCTTCAGCACAGCCTCTAACGAAATTAAGCTGTCCTGCACCCCTGGTAATAGGTCTGTTTACACTAAGAAGGTTGGAAAAGCACCAAGACCCCCAGGTTCTCTGTGCCCAGGCAGACTTCAAGGGATCCCTGCTGTGAGAACTAATGTCCTTAAGAGATTGTCTAAAACTGCTGGGTGGATTTTTTTTTTTTTTTCCAGCTTGACTCTAGTTGGAGTGTTGGGGGGGGGGGGGGAAGAAACCCCAACTGAGAAAATGCCTCCATCAGATTGGCCTGGAGGCCAGTCAGTGGGCATTTGCTTGATGAATAATTGATGTGGGAGGGCCTAGCCCATTTGTGGGTAGTGTGTGCCGCCCCTGGGCAGGTGGGTAGTCCTAGGGTGTAAATGAAAGCAAACCAGGCTGGAGCCATAGTTCATCAGCTAAGCACACTGGCAGCTCTTCCAGGTTCAGTTCCCAGCACTCAGGTGGCAGCTCACAGCCATGGGCAGCTCCAGTCATAAGGAAGCTGGCACCAAGCACCCACATGGTTAAAACATTCCGGGCCCCAGTTTTCATCGTCCATCGATAAGACGCAGATGCAAGAGCATACAAGGAAAGGCCACCGCTCACTTCCGGAGGCCACTTGCTGTTTCCTGCAGCACCTGAAGACCAGCCTGGAGGTCCGGGCACTGGGATGTGCTTCTCTTTCATACTGGCCTCAGTTTCCCCAGAGGTTCTAGACTCCTATTCAGCTGCAATACAGTGATTTTCCGTGGGATACTGGGAGGAGTTGAGGGAAGGCTAGACTTGAAAGAACGTTTACAGAATTCCCTTTGGGCCAGTCCCCTCCGCGTTCCCCCTCCATCCTGGCTAAGATGTGAAGCTCTCAGGAGGGCTGGGAACTAACTTGGAATTTTCCCAGTTGCTGAATGGATCCCACACTTTACACATCCCAACTTTCCTTTCCCCTAGTCGGCCAGCCTGGAGTGTGTGTGTGTGTGTGTGTGTGTGTGTGTGTGTGTGTGTGTGTATAAAATCAAGAGGCTACATTGTCAAACCTTCCCTACGCCTGGGGCCCTAAACTAGATCCCTCTACTTGCTCCCGCAGGGCCAGGCACCAGGGATCCCCTCAGTTTGTAAATGTAATCAACCTTGAGGTCTCTCACTTCCACAGGTGCAATTAGCATGCCCATCTGCTAATCTCTGATTAATGATGTTTACAAACAGGGACTCTGCTCTGAGCACCTCAGCCCCTCCTTCCCCCAGCTGGGAGGTGGGGGGGGTCTTCTCAGCATCCCCCCCCATTTTACAGCCCTCCCTATCCTCTCCCTCCTTCTCCAGTTCTCCAGGCAGTGGGCTGAGCTGTACCCTGCACACCTTGGAAGGAGAGAGCGAACAAACAGGAAGCCTTAATGGTGGGCTGGAATCCTACCCACCTTTCATTCTTCCCCCTCTGGAACTTCAAGGACACATGGTGACCATGCTGCCTTTATCTCCCACCCCAGCCCTGCCTCTCTGTATGGCGTCCTTGGTGGGTACATGCCTGGTGTGTTGTACCAAAAGCGCAGAGAACTTTTAATTTGAATTTCCTTTATTAAGTAAGGTCTCATGCAGCCTCAAACTCACTATGTAGTCAAGGTTGGCCTTAAACTCCTGGATTCTTCTGCCTCCATCTCTGAAGTGCTTAGGTCAGTTTATTTGTTTCTGGAGATCCTACCCAGAGGCTAATGCATCTTAAGCAAACGCTGTACCATCCCAGCTATATCTTCAGCACTGGCCTCGAACTCATGGTCTCTCTGCCACAGCCTCCTGAGTGCTAGTATAGGCATACACCACCATGCACCATGCTGTGATCACAGATTCCAGACAGTCCCATGTTGTTGGTCCTGATGTTGGCTTTGCTTTAGCTAAGTTGCTTCTTCTGTAAAATAGAGGCAAGATGGTGCCTATTCTATAGGTTTCAACTAGAGGGGAGGATTCGTAATCAGATATATGAAAGAGACTTAGCCCGGTGTACAGGAAATAGTAGGTGCCCATGTGTGTGAGCTTTGTACTGCAATTGAAAATATCGATGATGATGAAAGGGGGCTTCTGAAGTCAGAAGATGCCCGAGGACCCCTCCTTCTCTCCTCACCCCCTCTCTGGGGAGAAGGGCAGGTCCCAGCTCATTACTGGTTGGGGCTGGGGTGGAGGTGTCAGATTAGAATCACTCCTGGGTCTGTTCGCAGCTTCCCTGTTTCATTAACACCTCCCCGGTGGTCTTAGGCTCATCCTGCGGGGGAAGCACTCCAGAAAGTTCTGACCACCTCCCATCCAGCCTGAGCTCGGTGGTCCTCATTTAAAGGCTGTGCTCCAAATGTTCACAGAGAGGGGCCTTACACTAGGGAAGCTGGCCACTAACCAGGGAGCTGCCATTATTCCCCTCTCCTGCCTGGTCAGGAGGCACCACACTTGGGGTACCCCATTCTTTACCTGCCCCTCTCAGCCTCTCATCTGTAGGTTGGTGTCAATTCCTCCCTAACCCCCACCCACTCCCGCCCAGGACTACATCCTGGTTCCTTCCTTCAGGATCCTCAGGGTGAATGTGGCTTGAACCTTACGTCCAATTCCCACTCGCCTTTCCTGACATGGACTCGCCTCTGAAAACTGCTTATCATTTGCATTCTCTGAAAAATGAGGAAACCATACCTCATTAGGTATGCGTGGTGCTCTATAAATTGTGAACCCAGTAAATTTTTTTTTCCAGGAGGATTCTAACCCACATCCATCTTGGGCGAACCCAGTAATTGTTAACAATGGCCATTCGCTGTGGGCAAAACTGCTCTGAACATTACCTTACCGTTTTGCAGGCAGAACCTTGTTTTTGGACTAGGGTGGGTGAAGGGGGAGGAAGGCCAGAGAGAGGTCCTGTAGTCTCCAGCTCTCTTTTTCCAGCTTCTTCCAAGACTGGAAAGGAAAGTAGGCTGCTTCTAACAAAGTTCCCTTCAATTGCAGCCACAGAGGGATTTTCATGGCTGCTGGGTCTCTCCATTACTCTTCCGTTTTGGAGGACGCCCTCACTGGCTGCAGGGGAGGAAAGCTACTGGCTCTGCTTTCTCTTACTGGCTCTTTGTTCCTTAGGCTCTCTGCTTTTCACTGGGGTCTGTGGGTATCAGAAAGGAGACTCCTTGAAAAGCAGTTGATTATGTGGCTTATTAGCAACCCCAGACACTTTCTACAAATTGGGCGTTTCCCTTAGGGGAAACGGAAACAGTCTTGGTCCCTTCTTGCGAGTGTCCTTCTGTCCCTCTGCAGGCAGGCAGGGGTTACTGTGCTTATTGTTATATTATCATTGTGTGTACGTGTGTGTGTGTGTGTGCCACAGCATGTATGTGTGTGAGTGCCACAACATGTGTGTGTGAGTGCCACAGTGTGTATGTGTGTGAGTGCCACAGTGTGTGTGTGTGTGTGTGTGTTACAGCATATGTGTGTGTGTGGGTGCCACAGCATATATGTGTGTGTGTGCCACAGCATGTATGTGTGTGTGTGCCACAGCATGTATGAGGAGGCCAGGGAAGGATTTTGTGGAGTCGTTTCTCTCCCACTTTTACATGGGTTCCAGGTCTGTCAGGCTCTTGCCTCCTTTACCCACAGGGTCTCAGGTCGCTCAGGCAAGCCTCCAGCTCACTGTGTAGCTGAGGTTGACCTTAAACTCCTGCTGCTGCTGCCTCCATCTTGCTTGGTTGCAGAGGGGCACCACCATGCCTGGCTTACACAGTGCTGGGGGCTTTGTGTATGCTTGACAAGAGAGCTACACCCCAGTCCAGTCATTTCGTGTCTCAGGCACCCTGCTGTTTAAATAACTAAACGAGTGAAGAGATCCTGAGCCTGGAGGCTACTGCTTCCCTTCCTTCTCTCCAGAAAAAGGCCCCCCATGTTTCCTGCTGGTCTGGACCTTCCACTCAGACCAAGTCAGAGGCAGCAAGTCCGTAATCCCCAGCTGCAGCTGCTTTGATTCTGTGGGGAAAATGGGTTGATGGAGGGCCAAGAGAAAGCTCCCTAGACCCCCGGGCTCTGCTGAGACCATCTGCACCAGGGCCTGGCATCGACAGCTCTTACCACAGACAAGGTACCAGTAGGGTTGGGCTTTGTGCAAGATGCTGAATTTTGTCTCATCTGAGCCCTGAGTCCCTCTTATATCTGTGGCTCTATCACCTTGGTGGTTTGGAATCAGGAGCAATAGCATATGGTAATGGCGATGATGCACCTAAGGCTCTCCAGTACTCACAAGATGGCTTAGTTAACCACAGTGAATTCTTAGGGCACCTTGGAAGAAGGGCTGTTCCTCCCTTTAGCTTGTAGATGGGAAACTGCACTTGCCCATGGTCATTCTATGCAATCAGAGGGCTTGGGAGGGACAAAAGGATGGGTGAGA